TCACGAGTATGAATACGATCCGCTGAATCTAGAGACCTGGTCGCGCATACTCCACGCCTGTGACAACCCAGGAGCGATTGGATGTGTGATGACAATGAGATTAAGGAGGCTAACAGGTTTCGATCCCAAGTTAAAAATAGGAGATCAAGAACTTAAGTGTATAGGAGGCTCATTAAAAAGCGGAGATGTATAGAAGGTCTACAAGGTTGAGACGTGAAGACTAATATTCTTCTGGCCGAATACCAAGACTGATCTCGAAGACAAGTCATCTCGAATGATAATATACAAATATCCAAGAAGCGTCCATATTTGAACTTCTTGATTAGCTACGCAGGAGATGATGGTATGTGTAAAACTGTACTGATAGACGGTCGGGTCCTCTAATAACACTCGGACACATTCCACCTGTTGGAACCATCAACACAATCTCCAACATTGATATTTTCATCTTAGAATATATAAATGCATGGGTAAGCACCTGGTAGTCATGGGGTTCACCCCATTTGCAACCTTCACCTGGGGACTTTCAGAAACCTCGGGCTTCTGGTCCCCCAAGTAGGCAGCAGGCAGACAGTCAACTATGTCAGAACCCACACTCTCCCATAAAAATCTCCCGTGCCGTACTGCTTCACGTCTCGGCTCTCAAGTCTACATGTATACTTATGGGGAATCTATGTTGGTCCAGCCACTAACCGACGATGCAAGATGGTGACACTAGGCGCTTGACAGAGCCACGCCCATCCAGTCTCTGGCAACGAGATGGATGTTGGCGCCCAACCATGTGCCAGCCCTGCGATCTGCCAACTTGGGTCTAACTGCGTTTCACTGCTAGGGCATAGCAACCATTCAAAACAGAACACCCATTTACCTTGAACAGCGATCTTCCTACTCGGGCGAGATGCCGAGGTAGTATAGGATGTGATACAGACTGTTAGTCCAGATGTCGAAGCTTACTTAATCTTGGGCCTATCCTTTGATTATTATAACCTTAAACTCATATAACATTATATATAAACACTAAGCATCTGACCTTTATCTATTTTTATCTCATAATCACTATATATGTTGCCCACCACGTTTGATTGTATTTGAAGTGGTATGCTATATGATATATTAGCAAGCTTAAAGGCTTTCTAACACGGCTTGAAGACAATTAAAACAGTTCCAGTTTTATAGAGCCGTGCTAACACGTTAGACCGTTCCGTTTCCCTTACAACCACGCCATCACAGTATCGCACACCCACATAAAGAGACTAAATAGATATCACAATCTTACTATGTACTAATCGTACCCACTAGGAGCCCTTAAGCTAAGATACCGTAGCAAAAACCCGTACGGGGAAATAATCATTATTTTTACACAATGATTATTCTATACACAATAATTGTGACGCACGAGCCATATATCTGGTCTACCATCCTACTATTCTAAAAGTCACATACGTAGGATATAAGGGCTCTCAACAGCAGCAACATCCATATTCTATAAATCGTAGTCTCGTAGTCTCATAGTCCCGTAGTCCCGTAGTCTCGTAGCGTAGTAGTAATACCGTCATACCGTCTTCTTGTTCTTCTTCTTCTTCAATCTTCTTCTTCAACCGTAACATGCGTTCAATTCTGCCTCGTAACAATTCTTCATTTTTTGCATTTATCGCCAGCGGTGCTAACTCATCATTTTCTATTGCCAGGGCATCAATTAGACCAATAAAGACCTTATATTCTAAATTTTAGCCCCCCCCTTTAAAATCCACACAATCATTATTTCCCACACAATGATTGTTTTCTACACAATCATTGTGCTAAAAAGGAAAGTTTGAAAACCAGCACAATCATTGTGTGGAAAACAATCATTGTTTCCCCGCACCGGACCACGCTACGGTACTTACCTAGGCCGGTTGGTAACGGATTGCCAGGTAAACAAATCTTCACCCCCAAGCACCGCACTGCGTACAAAAGTTAAAACTGAGTGACTTACCCAGGCTATTCGATCACACCAGTAGGACTCATATGTTGCTTTCGCATAGTCCTAGAATCGAGGCTCCAATTGTTCCTGAATTTCTAATAAGGCATGGACGAAGACGGACCAGACCCTCGACGCGTCGCTGCGCGCGCTGTGGGGCGCACGCCCGAAGAGCACGCGGCACTTGAGCGCGTCTTGGCCGCACGGCGAGCGCGCCGGCGAGCCTAGGCATCCCAGGCTGATACGCAGAGACGCTCTGGTCAGGCTATCGCTTCGCGGCCCTCACGGCAGAGGGCCAGCCCCAAACCCGCGGCTCGGAGGCGCGAACAGCAGCAGCACGCGGCTTCCAGTCCTGCAGAAACCGGGCGGCGGCAAGACTTCACACAAGGCTTCATGTCCATCATGAAGTCGGCAGATCAGGCCCGGCTACAGTCCCTACGTGAGAACCCGCCTCGGGGTCCGTGGGAAGGGGGTTGGGACGACTACCAGAGCATGATGGGACGGGCCGACTTCGAGACTGAGGAGGACCATCACACGCGCCCGCCTAACAACAGATACGACCGTCATTTCTATTCTCCCGAGCCGGATTACGTGGCGCTGGCCGACGGGTACGAGGCCGGCATCAAGGACGAGGGCATGCTCCGCACTTGGGATGCCATCCGCGCCGCGACGCATCTACCACGGCGCTGCCGGATCGTGCTCCTGCTGGTGACGCAGGTACGTCGGGCAACCAAAACCAAAAAACCTTCTTTGCGACAACGCGAGATGATGATGATGTGTGCGTGCGTGCGTGCTAACAAGCAGGATGCGTGCGTCCTACCTACCAGATCCCCGCCGGCTCGTGGACGACGTACACGGCCCTGAAGGATCACTTCTGGGAGGTCGAGGGCATCTGTCCCATGCAGAACATCGTGTGCTGGCTCCGCAAGAACCCCCAGCCGTTCCGCGTCGACGAGTCCGGCTCCGGAGTCGGCGTGCCCTGTCACCGCGTGCTCGACCGGGGCGCGGAGGGGGGCTCCGAGCACTGCGCCGACCCGGCGGCGGCCACGGCGCTGCTGGAGGACGAGGGCGTCCAGTTCACGTCGAATGGGAGGGCTAAGGGTTCCTGTTTCACGGGATTCATTGGCCGTCCCAGGCTGTGTCCCCATCCGTGGTGTCTGAAGTGTGACAAGTAATCGCAGTCGGTCGAGCAAAGTGGCGTCGGAATACACAAATCGCCCAGCCGTGGCTTGGGATAAACCAAATACACGTCGATAGTCGATTTTTACTCCTGTTGAGGCTTGTGCGGAGGCCTCCCCTTATTATTCTTCCCTCGCCCTTCTGGGTTATCGTTGTACTTCTGTGATACAATTGCGCAACACCACCATGATGATAGGTATAGTTGTGTCACGGCACTAAGGTGCCCCCGCGGGGCTACGGTCAAATAACTATAGGGGCCGCATCGCCCACACTACGTAGAACTAGCTGATCTCTTCCCTCTTTGTGTTGTGCAACAATACTAGGTATAAGTCATTCTGGAACAACCAGAAGTCACCCTGAACGGTGACAGGTTGGGTCTTGTTCACCTGTCGGACGTTCCCTTCGGACGTCCGGGGTCAAAATCCATCGCGAGTGTGAGGTACCTCAGATCGGGTAGGTGAGATCAAGCAACTTTGAAGATGTCAACTTATGGGCTCACTGAGGTTCACTCACCGAAGTCTCGGAAACTGCTACTTTGAAGGTTTCTCGAAACCAGTTGAAGCATATATATATATAAATAAATGAATGAATGAAGGAAAGTTCAGGACCACCGGGATTCAAAGAGACGACTCCAGGCTACATACATGCTCACTCCTTCACACTTCTACTCCATAATGTCTACCGGTACCACCACCACCGAGTGCACCGCGAGCCCTTCCGCATCAACAACCCCCAGCTTCCCAGACACCTCGGCCCTGCTCCGCTACCTATACGCCGACCTCCGACGCCTGCGTCTCCTCGCCTCCCCCGACATCGTGCTGCACCGGTGGGACCGCCCCGCATCGGGTCCCCTCCGGGGCGTTGACGCCGCCCAGGCCCACGAGGAGTCCCTGTACGCGGCCACGGGGGGCACGCTGGTCATGGAGGTCACGCATGTCTCGGCTAATGAGCACTACGGCTCGGTGCTCGGTCTCTTGCGCTCCCGCCGCCGCCGCGGACAGGGAGGAGGAGGAGGAGGAGGAGGGGACGGCGGCGCCGAGGAGACCGAGAGTGTCGTGCCCTTTTGTGGGGTATGGAGGTTCGCGGAGGATGGGAAATTGGTAGAGCACTGGGAACATGCTATTACCGACCCTATCTAATCTACCTATAACATCGGCAAACTCGCGACCCAACTGATGGAGGAGGAGGTTCTTGGCTCGTGGACTGTGAGTTCCATATAGAATTTTTGTTGCATGGCTTGGGTGAGCATGTACCAATCCTGGGTCTATTTACGGGAAAAGGGAGGGAAGGGGTTTTTGAACACAGCCAAGTTGTGTCTTGAGATAATTACCTTGTCCAAAGCCCTTGACGTTGGTAGATCTACACCACTGTACATTTTCAATTCAATGATCCCATGAGGCCTTGGCAATTCGCTTCGGGAGATCTTGAAGTCGTTCCTCTCTGGTAAATTTTGGCCTTCCATGAACCTACCTAGGTAGCATCACTCACTTTTGTCTTAGAGGCGACATAAGGTACTTACTTAGGTCGCTTTCGACGTTTTGTTCAAGGTACTTATCTTCTCTCCACACTACATACAAAAAAAAGTATTCTCTCACCCCTTTTTGGGTCGCAACATCACCATGACACACAAAAAAAGGTAGATGCATATAACCACCCACATCAAAACACAACTTCATAAAGGTATCCATCTACCTGCACTCACCAATCATGGTCATACACTACTAGTTCATAGTACCCAGGTCATTGATAGGAAGTTCATATTACTACTCGTTGATCCCGGCACCCGGACCAAGCTAAGTGGATACCGAAGTATTGCCGCTCACTTAGAACATAGCATTCCATAAAATTAAAATCTTACATGGGTCACTTGGTGTAGTGGTTATCACATCTGTCTTACACCGCAACAAGGCGTGGTTTGCACACAGAAGGCCGGCAGTTCGATCCTGCCAGTGATCACTTTTGCTATTTGTTTCATCGAGCAACATGTCATGGCTGGCCGTCTCTTTATTTTTGCCATTTGTATTGATCGATTCGTATTCCCCCCGATCTGTCCAGCTTGTTTGGTGTCCTGGTAGAAGAAGAACCGCCGGCATATTGTTAGCCTAGGGTGCGTGGGCCTTTGGTAGACGTTTCGAGTTGGAACATCCATAGCCAAAAAGAACTGACAAAGTCCCGTGCCTGGATTGGGGAAGATCATACCGTAAGCTGGAGATTGACCTTGCTATGGGGGGGTTGCGTGCAGCACATTCCCCGGTGATCGCAGATGATAATGTAATATAATAAATAGCTTTTCCTCCCCAACCCTTAAAACACAACCTACAGTACCTTCTTACTGGGTAGCTACGCTACGCAGGACCGAAATCCAACATGACCGCTTGCGAGTCCGGCACCGCGACCGTGACCACGCCGTCCCTGACCTCGGCCGTCTCCCCCACCGTCACGTTGCCGAGCCGCACCGGCCGCCCCGCGTCCAGCTCGTAGTTGTAGCTCCAGCCGTCCCACGAGATGCCCGTGACGGCGTCGCTGCCGTTCGCCAGCAGCCGGCTGACGCCCACACTGACTCCCGTGCCGTCGTCCGCCGCCGCCGTCGTCGTCCCGCCAACGTCGAAGCTGAACGTGCGCGCGGGCCGCGGCGCCGGGTTGAGGCCCGGCCCCGTCCCGTTGATCGTGTAGTTGTACGCGCGCAGGTTGATCACCATGATGCGCATCAGCACGTTGTTCACGTACGCCGCGTACGCCGCCTCCATGCTGTCGTCATCCTCCTCCTCCTCATCATCATCGTTATTAGTACCGCCGCCGCCGTCGCCGCCGCCGAGGGGCAGCTCCGCCACGGCGACCGGCTCGATCCGCGAGTTCCCGACGAACGCGGCGACGGCGATGTTGGCGTAGTACGGCGCCTTGGTGCCCATGACGGCGCGGTCCGTCTCGATCGGCTGCCAGGACGCGTAGCGGTAGTTGGTGCCCAGGTGCGTGTGCACGCGGCCGACGCCCGCCGCCGCGCAGTACAGGCCGAAGTCGACCGCCCACAGGGCGGCGCCGAACGAGTTGGACAGGCCCGGCTTCCCCTCGTTCGACAGCGAGTTCGTCTCCGCCAGGATGTGCGGGATGCCCGCCGGGGCGATGGCGGCGTATTCTCTGATGTGGGCGTCGACGCTTTGGCGGGTGCGCGTGTGGTTCATCAGGGTGCCTTGGAGCGTCACCCCGAGCGTTTCGGCGCTCGCGATGTAGCTGTGGGGGAGGTGAGCGGTGGTTTTGAGTACCCTAGATTAGCTCATGATTGCCGTGGGGAGCGGCTACATAGGGAAGAAAAAGGGGCGGGGGGATGAGGCAGGGGTTCTGGGGTTCTTGGGTGGGCGGAGTGGTGTCCGTGAATTGGAAAGGGGTAGGGAGTTCATACTTACTTATGAGAAGCATAGAACTTGATATTCCGATCTTCATTCAGACCATCTGCCCATGACAGCGAAGCGCTCAGGTGGTTGCTCGTCCCGGCGAACGAAGGAGCTAGGTACCCATAGGTCTCATTGCTGACCATATCCGGGCAGGCCTGCTCGATCACGGCCTTGATGGCCCTGGTGCCGTTGAGCCACTCGGCGACGAAGTCGCTCTCGTTGTAGCTCTCCGGCCTCACCGGCCCCTGGGCGCTCGTGGCGAATAGGTCCGCCTCGTTGCCGTACTCCCACCAGTACAAACCGTCTCGCCCTAGTGACTTGCAGGCGAGCGGAACGGTGTCGAGGAGCGTCTGCCACTGCCGATCGTCGTGATTCCCGCCCATGTTGAAACCATGTGAGAACCGGGCGTTCGGCCAGGTGCCGTACGACTCGAAGAACGAGGGACCGATCTCGATGGTGGTCGGGTAGTCCTCAGACCTGGACGTATTGAAGGTCCCGTTCAGCGCGACCGGCAGGTCCGCGTTATAGATAGCATAGTCCTGCGTGTTGCCCCCGACGCGGATATAGGGCTTGGTCCCCGTCAGGTAGCCGATGTTGTCGAGCAGGTTATTGGAGAAGCTGTTGGGGTTCGACGTGTTTCCTACAAGTTTTCAGCTTCTTTCAGGGTTCTTACAGTCGATGACCATCCGAGACACGATCAGACCACATGTATATATGAATCTGCTTACCCGCAAAGTCGGGAAATGACGAAAACTCGATAGAGAAGCTTACGAAGCCATCGAGGGGCTGACTCGTGGTGAGTTCTCTGGTACCGGGGCTTACGGCGAGCAATATCGTCTTTGCGGCGACAGCGCCACCAAGCGTCAACATGGGAGTAAGGATTTGCATCGTAAGTTCTCATCCAAGGCTCAGCTATAAGCCTCTTACATGTATTGTATTGCTATCTCGAAGTACTCTGACCGCCAACGAGGCGTGCTTCTCTCTCAGACCGTGACGGGGTGCTTGTATGTGAGCGTGTGTGTGTAAGCAACTTCATAGAGCGGCGAGGAGAGGCTCGACGTCACTAAGGCATGGCGGCAGTTGTGCTCGTTGGAAGTACACTAAGTACCTACGTATTGTGTGTGCGTGCGATGGCAAAGTAGTAGCAGAGGGTCCTTCCCGAACCACGTCCTTCTACATCTCTCCGGCCTCTTTGGAACCTTGGAAATTGGAAGGTGCGGGCGCACATGAAGATCCGTACGCCTGCAGATGATCCCGTCATACGATTCGGGAACCAGTCCGTTTTTTCTTCACGAAAAGGATTGCGTTTCACATTAATGAAAAGGCTTGCAACAAGCTGCCTGATTTGGTGCATGCGTGAGAGCATATCCAGTGGAGGTATTGGAGGGCTAGATGAGTGATCATATAATAATATCAAGATGACATATATAGCTCGATGCGGGGAAGAAGTGCCTCGTCTACTGTATGTGGCTGCTATAGGGGACAGCATGTCCCCTCAGCTCTCTGCATGTGCGTCCGGGAACCAACTAAAGTGTTGCTGATCGTTAAGGTGGTGTGGTGAGAAAAAGGAACCTCGATTGATGATCATCTTATAAAGAAAAAAAGAAAAAGAAAGTCTCGAAATATGTCCGATATGGATGTGTTCGCTGCCGAACGAGGACCGTCATATACGGTAATCTTGCTGATGGTTGGGCGATTGTGAGCGTTTACCAAAGATCATCTACATTGCATGGTGTTGAAGTAACTTGCCAGCAGCCATACATACAGTCTCGGGAATTGGTCTCGTCACTTGACCGGAGACAGGCTTGTCTCCATCAGGCATTTTGTGTGCCCGCAAGGACGCAGGCTGACACCGAGTTATCTCATCCCGTCGCACGAGGGTAGCCGCATGGAAACCGTCATCTCGGGATAACATGATATTTGGTAGTCGCATATTGCGAATGTTGGCAGGCGTGTTTGAGCACGGATAAGCATAATGCGTCGGTGATGATGAGTCCTAAGAAAACCTTTGGGTATTGTAAGTTACAGATAAGAGAGTGCCTGCATGCCCCTTTCCTCCCAGATGACAATGCATGCATTGCTCGATAAGACCTCAGGGCTCTCGCATGACTATGTGAACACATAGAGTAGACCGAACACCAATTCCAACTCGTTACACTACACCACTGGCTCGGTGAAGTCTCAAATGAACTATGCCGTCGTCGTCCAGGGCAGATGACTCGATAGCATCTTTTGGACCTCCATTCTCCGTCAGCATCATCTCCGATCCTCTCCTTCGGCGAGAGCGAGTGTCCCGCCAATGCTTATTGTCGAAAAGGTAGCTTTCTTTCCAGAGTGTTGAACGCCATCGTCCTCGGCGTGAAAGGCACAGTACCGGTACGTGGCGTAGGTGGAATACCCTGCATCTCCCACGACCTGTCCTTCTTCAGGTAAGAAGGTGAGGAATCATCATCGGAATCAACGTCGCTCTTCCGATCCTCCTCGTTAGGTAGCATGGCCCACACCGTCAGGCCTACATTCACCAGATATAGGACACTTCGCCGCGATGTTAGGACCGATGAAAGATTGAAAATCATGGAACAGAGGCAGATGACTCACAGGAAGATGACAGTTGCGGCGAATGTGCCCTTCGCCATAGTGCAGTTACTCTGTATGCCCTTGTTGGCAGCGACAGTGCACGGCTTCGCAATGTACCAAGCTACGTTGCTGGGATGGTTCGGGTCGAGGTGGTCTGGACCGGCCTGCCCGTATACGCTCGTGATATACAGTGCCGCCATAGAGACGTTGAAGACCATGGCAACCAGAGGGAACCAGACATGCATGATGAACGCGATGAGCTTGGTGAGCAGGACGAAGAGGCTGAGAACGGATATGGCGACATTGAAGTTGGTCAACCTGAAGGCATGTCAGCATCTAATGGGGTATCCGTCGAATTCTACGCCCGACGGGGTACTCACGTCGATGACCACACAAAGGGTATGTCTGGCTGCGGCGCATAGTTGGCGTAGGCGTAGAGTATGACGTTCGGGCTCGAGTTGAAGCCGAGCTCATTGCCAGCCCGCCACAGCTTGGTGCGGTAGAGATCAGGCTGGGCGATACCAAAGAGAACCAGAACAGCGACGGTAGCAGCCAACTCTGCTATCATCGTTATCCACATGGCAGCCGTCGACCTCCATTCCCGATGCAAAATTCTATAGGTCATGATGGAACGGGCCGGTGAGGCGGTGAAGTGAAAGGATCGGTATAGGATTCGGTTTATGGCGAGGGCTGGATATTCAACCGGATGGGCCCCACGAAAGCCGACTTCGAAGCGGTTCGAGTTACCGTGACCGGACGATAGATAGAAAGATAGCTTCGTTTCTCTTACGCTGGCGTCCAGCAGATTGACTCAACTTATTTCACATCGAATGACCAACTACGCCCTTCACGTCGCGATTTTTCGGCGCAGGATAGTTGTAGGTGAGGTCGATTGAAGCTTACAGACATTGAAGGAGATGGAGGTTGGGAACAGTTGGCTGCACGGCATTCTTAAAAGACAGGGCGGCTTCCAACAGCGAACGGGCTGGC